TTTTCCGTTAGTTAACATGCCATGTAAGCCAAAATTTAACGGAGGGACTAAAAAGGGGCCGGATTTGTGAACAGTAAGGATCAAAAAGGGGATTTTTTCGGTATAGGTACTAAAAAGGGGCTTTTTCCTATAATAGAGGGACCAAAAAGGGTATTTAACCAATAATCTATGGCTTTTTCTGGGTCCTTATGCAAAAACTTCCCAGTACACATCATCTCTATGAATTGACGCTCCCTACTAGTTGAACCCTCATAGAAATAACCAACCAACCTCCAAGTTCATACCCATGATGTGGACACAAGTTTTATAATTCTTTAAACCTCTCACATGCTTGGTATAAGGTTTCACTATCCTTTTGAGCAAATGTGGAGATCTATCTTTTAAAATTATTAGTTTTATGGTGCGGAAAGTACTTGTTAAAGAAAGCTTGAGTCATCTTTGCCCATGTACCTATAGATCTCGATCTCAAAGAATACAACCAAATTTTAGCTTTGTCTTTCAAGGAGAAGGGAAAGAATTTCAACCTAACTGTGTCTATAGTGTCGGCTTGACTGTGAAAAGTAACTACTACCTCCTCAAATTCCCTAACATGCACATTGGATTTTCATTCTCTAAACCATGGAAACTAGGCAAAAGCTGAATCATTCCAGGTTTGAACTCAAAGTGTGGTGTATTAGGAGGAAACATTATGCATGATGGTGTAGCTATTCTAGTGGGGTGCAAGTAGTCTTTCAAAGTCCTAATAGGTTGATCCCCATCTTGACTCATGATTTCAGAATTCAAGGATGAATTAGACTCGACTTCTTCTTTTTGAAAGGGTAGTAGATCTAATTTAATAAATCTCCCTTTTTCATCTGTCGATCTATTCATATACTCTAATCTACTTTTTTTTTTTTTTGAATGAAGAAAATAAAATAAAAGCAAGAAAGTAAAATAAACTAAAGAAAAGAAAAGCAAATAAAACAAATAAAAGAAAAGTGAAGAATGTTCAAACTCTAATTGTCAATTTGGCTTCCCCGGCAACGACTCCAAATTTTGATGTCTTGCTTCAAAATTAATACCCTTCGGCTAAGCAGTTGTTGTAGCGTAGCTTTAGGTGTTGAATCTACAGGGAAACTATATTAAATCAACAAAAAGAATTGTCATAATAAGAAATTAAATTAAAAGATGAATTATAAAATTAAGAATAAAAATAAAAGATGATAATTATAAAAGATTGAAAATAATATTAAGATGAACAAGACTTTAGGGTTTACTTAATTGATTTGTTTAACTGTTATAAATTTTGATTCCTATTTATTACTCAATTGCATGTTTCACATCCCAAACAAACAATCGAAAATTTATTACTCAATTGCATGTTTCACATCCCAAACAAACAATCGAAAAATTTAACTTTGAAGACCAATAACAATGACTAATGTATTTATTTTGAGAGAAATTAATTTCAATGAAAAACAAACTTATTTATCCTTACGAGCTAACCAAGAGCAACAATACATATAATTGATAATATTGCAGTAAAGCATCAACCCACAAAATAAATCTATCAATCAATTATATTCTAACAAATCACACATAAAAAGAGTATGACTAATTTTATATAAAATTTGATGAATATAATTTTCAGAGTTTTCAAATATGAAAATAATTAATAATCTCAAAAATAAAATTAAACAATAAAATCCATGAAGGAATTAAAATAAAATAACAAGTCAAACTCCTCAATTAAGATCTTCCCTAATTTTGTTGAAAGTTTAATTGCCCTTTAACATAATTCTCTACCTTATAGAAGAAAATAGAAGCCTGGTAGCAGCCTCTCCAGCCTTGGAACTCCTTCTCCAGAATAACTTGGATGGGTATTTCTAGGGTTTTAGAAAACCTAACTAGAATGGCTGTGGGTCCCACATCAAAATAATTAGGACAGACAAAATTTGGCTGAAAAATCGTGCAAGGGATCGACACTCTGTACAACGTGCTGGCACTTGAGTGCAGCGCCTACTACATCCTATTGTCGGGTTTTTGGCCTTTTGTGCAATTTTCATTAATGGCAGAATAACAGTCCTGCTCCCTGACTCTTGGATTCCGTGCAAGTTGATCACCATAGTTCTGATCTTTGCAATTTGCTCCTTGATCAAGAATGGAGAAAATCTCACTTGAGCCTTCAAACATCTGATTTATCCTTGGATCCTCATCTTTTCAGCTCTTTGCATTTAAGTCCTTTTTTTTCTAATTCTTCTTCATTTAACATCAAACCTTCAATCATTATAAAATTTGCACAACATGAATAAAATGAACACTTATTAAATTACTTATGAAAAATAAAACTCTTAAACCCATAATTCCACAAATGTTAATGATTAAGCACACTTTAAATATACATTTTCTTTCTTTCATCACCTTGGTAGTGTTTTATGAGTTTGTACTTCATATTCCTTATGCAATGTGAAAATGTGTTTTAATAAATACTAAAGACTTGGGAATTTTATGTAAGAGCTGCATTATATTGGATACTCTATTGAGTGATTTGATTGTAAGTGATTGAAAGTTCTAAACTTTGATCATGACTATGTGAGAACTTTATTTTGGTGATTATTGTAGACTCAGTTGAGACATTCTTCCTATCTCATATTTTCATCTCTTACTTTCTTTTTCTTTTTTTTTTTACTGTCTCTTTTTTAACAAAATTGGAAAGATAGAAATCCATGCAATCTTTAAGCCTTACATAGAATTCTCTATTTTCAATTGGAATCTATGAATTTTTATTTTTGTGAAACCTATAAAACTACGACCTATGTTATATTATTAAAGACTTTACAAACTCTAATACTTATGTGTTCATTTAAAATTGGCCAATTCAATGTTGGGCCATTCAAAGTTGGACCTGACATTATACCTTGCAACACAAGGTTCTCCATCTAATTTGATAATAATTGTAGCAACAACAACTTACTCCATATATAACTCACTAATCATCTCTGTTGCCATTGAACATCTTCTTGAAACATGCCACTTTCAATGTTATAACTGCAAGTATCCAATGTTGGACATCATCCACCCATTGAAAATAAGCATATCTCCACTTTTTTACAAAAATTAAAGTTCCCACGACTCCCCAGAATCCAGTTGCAAAGCCTAACAACACAACAATGTAAAACCACATTCTTTTAAGTGCACCTTCATCATTGTCCTTGAACTTGGTGGTTGTTGGAGGTAGTGTATCATTTGAGCATTTGTTCAAGAGTGGAGCTCCACAAAGTTGAGGATTGCCAGCATACATGGTTGGATCTTCGAGTGTTTGGAGTTGATAACCTGTTGGAATGGGCCCTGACAAGTTGTTGTAGGACAAGTTGAGGTGGCTTAACTTGGTTAAACTTGACATGCTGTTCGGGATCATTCCTGAAAGGCCATTCTTGGAGAAATCAAGAGATTCCAAATTCTCCATTTGTCCAATTTTCTCAGGGATCTTTCCTGAAAGATGATTCCAAGACAAATTCAAATTGTGCAAATCCTTAAGGAATATTAGCTCCTCTGGAATGGATCCTATTAGATTGTTACTTGAAAGATCTATACTAGTCTCGAGTCTTAGAGTTCGTCTTTTATACTCAAGGTATCTCCCTTTCACAACCTCCATCAAAGGCGCTTCATCCCAAGATCCAAAAACTAAGTCTTCGATCAATTGTGTTGCATTCACCATAATCGAAAACTGTCCAAAACAAGGAGGAATCCTTCCTGTCAAATTGTTATCTGCAAGATCTAGAATTTGCATCTGAGAGAGAGAGCATAGTTCCAAAGGAATATAACCGGAAACCAAATTTTTTCGCAGACGAAGAATCTTTAAAGAGTGGTTGCCGATCTCACCCCTTACAATACTTGTTAAATTTCCAGAAAATTTATTTTCACCCAAATCCAAAACCACTAAAGAAGTGAAATTTTTCAACGCCACATGCAATCCCCTATGGAGACTATTGTTGTTCAAGTGCAATAAACTTAAATAATAAAGTTGCACCATTGTGCTCGGAAACGAACCCGAGAGATTGTTAGAAGATAGATCAATAAAAAAGAATAATTGATCATTTCTCCAACAATTAGGAATACTTCCAGATAACATATTATTTGAGAAATCTAGATATCCCAAAGATTTTGAATTGCATAGCGACTTTGGAATATTTCCAGATAACATATTGTTTGAGAGATCAAGTGTTACCAAATATTTTAAATTGCATAGTGACTTTGGAATTGAACCGTTCATGAGGTTATTTGCAAGATATAATTCCTCCAACATTGGCATCATATGACCTATGTTTTCTGGAAGAGGACTTGAGATGCTAGCATTAGAGAGATCAACCGTCTTTATTGTCTTTGGTAATTGAAGCCATTTAGAAAATCCTGTTCCAAATTGATTGCTAGAAAGATATATTCTCTCTAACTTAGAAAGTTGTCCGATGCTATCTGGAATGCTCCTCAATTGATTCTCAGAAAGATCTATGCTCTCTAACTTAGAAAGTTGCCTGATGCTTTCTGGAATACTCCTCAGTTGATTGTTAGAGAAATCTATGCTCTCTAACTTAGGAAGTTGCCCGATGCTGTCTGGAATACTCCTCAGTTGATTGTTAGAGAGATCTATGCTTTCTAACTTAGGAAGTTGCATGATGCTGTCTGGAATACTCCTCAGTTGATTGTTAGAGAGATCTATGCTCTCTAACTTCGGAAGTTGCCCAATGCTGTCCGGAATACTCCTCAGTTGATTGCCAGAGAGATCTATGCTTTTTAACTTAGGAAGTTGCCCGATGCTGTCCGGAATACTCCTCAGTTGATTGCCAGAGAGATCTATGCTCTCTAACTTAGGAAGTTGCCCGATGCTGTCTGGAATACTCCGTAGTTGATTGTCAGAGAGATCTATGCTCTCTAACTTAGGAAGTTGCCCGATGTTGTCTGGAATACTCCGCAGTTGATTGTCATAGAGATTTATGCTCTCTAACTTAGGAAGTTGCCCGATGCTGTCTGGAATACTCCCTAGTTGATTGTAAGAGAGATCTATGCTCTCTAACTTAGGAAGTTGCCCGATGCTATCCGGAATACTCCTCAGTTGATTGTCAGAGAGATCTATGCTCTTTAACTTAGGAAGTTGCCCAATGCTATCCGGAATACTCCTCAGTTGATTGTTAGAGAGATGTATGCTCTTTAACTTAGGAAGTTGCCCGATGCTATCTGGAATACTCTGCAGTTGATTGTAAGAGAGATCTATGCTCTCTAACTTCGGAAGTTGCCCGATGCTGTCTGGAGTACTCTGCAGTTGATTGTTAGAGAGATATATGCTCTTTAACTTAGGAAGTTGCCCGATGCTGTCTGGAATACTCCGCAGTTGATTGTAAGAGAGATCTATGCTCTCTAACTTCGGAAGTTGCCCGATGCTGTCTGGAATACTTTGCAGTTGATTTTTAGAGAGATATATGCTCTCTAACTTAGGAAGTTGTCCGATGCTGTCTGGAATACTCCTCAGTTGATTATTAGAGAGATATATGCTCTCTAACTTAGGAAGTTGTCCGATGCTGTCTGGAATACTCCTCAGTTGATTATTAGAGAGATATATGCTCTCTAACTTAGGAAGTTGTCCGATGCTGTCTGGAATACTCCCTAGTTGATTGTACAAGAGATATATGCTCTCTAACTTTGAAAGTTGCCCGATGCTGTCTGGAATACTACTCAACTGATTATCAGAGAGATCTATACTCTCTAACTTAGAAAGTTGCCTGATACTATCTGAAATACTTCCACTCAATTGATTGCTAGAAAGATAAAGAACTATCAAGGAAGTCATGTTTTGGAGAAAAATAGGTATTGGACCATGAAAAGAGTTATATGACATATCTAAGTGCTGAATATTTCCAAGCAATGTAAAATTAAGGAGGTGGTTGTGTGATGGTAGGTAAGAATTTTTTAGACTACAAGCTGACATACTCAACCATGATAATGAAGAAAGCATGCCAAGTACCTGGAACAAGTTTGATGAGGTATGGCTTAGATTGACTCCACTCATATCAAGTCGTTGCAAAGAGGAGAGACGAGAAAACCACTGAATGTCATCATCAACCTTCAATCCCCCATAATAATCCTGAGAAAGATCAAGGACATGAAGCCTTGTAAGATTTCCAAGTTCCCTAGGAATTCTTCCTCTAAACTGCACATAAGAGAGATTTAGGTATCTCAACTGCTTCATCAAGCCAAAGGAGGGTGGAATAAGATTGCCATTGAAATTATTGTTGCTCAAGTCCAGTTGTTCCAAGTATCTCAACTTGAGCAAACTTGAACCAACCTCCTCTACATCGTCAATCAAGTACAATTGAGGTTGTTGATTAGCAAATACTGATCCCTTGAGTTGAAGCGAGATAACATATCCATTATTTTTGTCACAGCCTACTCCTCTCCATTTACAACAATCATTGCCTTTCCAAGAAGACAACATATGCGATGGATCATGGAAACAAAGTTTGAACTTCAAGAGGGCTTCTCTCTCCTTTTCTATACAGCTAAAGCTTGTGTTCCGACCGGAACAAAACTCTGCAGCTCCAAAGAACAATACAGCAACTAGAACAAGCATAGCACGGAAAGTTTCCCTCATAATGATGTTTTCAATATTATATGGAAGATGAGATGTGATATTTAATTTTGCTTGTACATTAATATATAGTCCCATGGCAAATAAAACACCTTTCCCCGAAGTTACACTAAAGATAAAGATTCCGAGTAATTGATTTAAAACAGCCTATTTTTGTATTTCGATCATGATCACTCGAGCGCGTTCGCCAAGACTTGGATGTCTTTTTGGTCCTTGTTGCTTTAAAGTCAATTTAATTGGTGATTTCATTGTCCTTTTGCCCAACCATAATAATAATACAGCATTTACAGGTCTTGTGCTACTGTTGTGCAACGTGAAGACTGGAAAAGTTTGAAAAATGGCTTTCAATTCTTAGAGATAACTATGGTTCGTGGAAATTTCTTCTCTTTTCACCTATCATGGAAATTTTTGGTCATCATGATTATGGTTTAAATATTGTGTGGAAGATTAGATATTTAGATGATCTTAATTTAATTTTTTTCTTTGATAACAGATGATTTTATTTTTATTTCTTTTGATGAACGGATGATTTTTAATTTGGGTTGCACATTAATATTATAATGGCAAATCTTAAGCTCTTGAACTTACCCTATCCTTCCACACAAGCCCCTAAACTATCATTTTAAACTTATAAGCCCTTAACCCTTGTATTTATGCCAGAAGGAAACCCTTTGTTAACGGTTCCGCTAGTTTCCGTAAAAAAAATCTAATCACAGCAGTCAAAGAAAAAGGTTGAATTGTAGTTTAGTCAATATATACTTTCATATTTAACAAAAATTACTTCTTTCATTTTTAACTAAATTTGCTAAAA